ATGAGAATGTCATTTCGCTAGTTGTACGTCTGGCAGTAGCTGGTGTTTGGATGCCTTGCAGCCATGTTTAAATGCTCAATTCCTTCCCTCATTTAGCAATGAGGAAATAAACAGCCCTACAGACCTGCCAGTTTCCTTGGAGTTTTGTTGTTAGGTTTTCTGCCATGTTGTCTTCCCATTGAACACTGGTGCAGTTGATATGGAGGTCAGTTATTTCAGTGTAGTGGACAACGTCGCTTGTCTGGTTGCAGGTCTGGCAGCAGGTCTGGCAGCAGGTCTGGCAGCAGGTCTGGCAGCAGGTCTGGTACTTGAATGCCGGCCGCTCTTTGGTTGCAAGGGTCGAGACTCATCTCCTGGCCCTGCTCTTCACTGAGTGCTACTAGGTCCTCTCTCCCCCTGCTCCATGAACTTTATCATACCTCATCTTAAAGCTATGTAAGGTTCCTGCCTGTGTTTGTGAAGATGAACGTTTGTTGTTGGGAGGAAAAGGGGGAAGAGGTAGAGAGGGAGGAGAATTATTATTATTATAATCAAAGGGGAAGCGCTAAACCCGGAGGATTATACAGCGCCTGGGGGGGGGGATGTGGAAGGCATTCAGGCTTAATTCGGGGAACTGGAGCACAGATCCAATTCCCTAAATCAAGAACCCCTCACCAACATCAAGGAACCTTGAGGGGTAGGGAGGAGAAGGATATGAAGTAGGAGGGGGGTTGCGTGGGTGCGTGTGTGAGCGTGTGTGGGCGTGGGCGTGTGTGGGCGTGTGTGTGTGTGTGTGTGTGTGTTCGTGTGCGTGCTTGCATACTTGGTGGCAGAGGGGGAGAGAGAGAGGGGTAGAACGGGGAGGGGCAAGGAGGGGAAAAGGATGTGAAGGGAATGGCTAGGGGGGAGAGAGGGGGGGAGGAATATGAGTGGAAGGTGAAGAGTAAGAGGAGAGGTAGAGAGAGGGAGACAGAGAGAGGGAGAGAGAGAGAGAGAGAGAGAGAGAGAGAGAGAGAGAGAGAGAGAATGGAAAGTAGGGGAGTAAGAGGGACTGAGGGAGTAGAAGAGGAGGGAGGAGAGGAGGAGGAGAGAGGGAGGGAGAGGGAGAGAGAGGAGAGAGGGTGGGTTAGTGCCTGGGTTATGGGATGCGGTGGGGTTGGGGTGGGGTTGGGGTGGTGTGGGGTGGGGTTGGGGTGGGGTGGGGTGTATGACTGGGGGGGAGGGAGGAAAAGGAAAATGAATGGAAGATGAAGAGGAAGACAGAGGGGAGGTAGATAGACAGCTAGAGAGAGAGAGAGAGAAGGATGGGGTTGCGGTTGTGTGTGTACTCACCTAATTGTACTCACCTAATTGTGGTTGCAGGGGTCGAGACTCAGCTCCTGGTCCCGCCTCTTCACTGATTGCTACTAGGTCCTCTCTCTCCCTCTGCTTCCTGAGCTTTATTATACCTCTTCTTAAAACTATGTATGGTTCCTGCCTCCACTACTTCACTTGCTAGGCTATTCCACTTCCTGACTACTCTATGACTGAAGAAATACTTCCTAACGTCCCTGTGACTCGTCTGAGTCTTCAGCTTCCAGTTGTGACCCCTTGTTCCTGTGTCCCCTCTCTGGAACATCCTATCTCTGTCCACCTTATCTATTCCCCGCAGTATCTTGTATGTCGTTATCATGTCTCCCCGACCCTTCTGTCCTCCAGTGTCGTCAGTCCGATTTCCCTCAACCTTTCCTCTTACGACATTCCCCTGAGCTCTGGGACTAGCCTTGTTGCAAACCTTTGTACTTTCTCTAACTTCTTGACGTGTTTGACCAGGTGTGGGTTCCAGACTGGTGTTGCATACTCCAGTATGGGTCTAACATACACAGTGTACAGTGTCTTGAACGATTCCTTATTTAGGTATCGGAACACTATTGTCAGGTTTGCCAGGCGCCTGTATGCTGCAGCAGTTATTTGGTTGATGTGTGCCTCCGGTGACGTGCTCGGTGTTATGGTCACAACAAGGTCTTTCTCCCTGAGTGAGGTCTGTAGTCTTTGTCCACCTAGCCTATACTCTGTCTGCGGTCTTCTTTGCCCCTCCCCAGTCTTCATGACTTTGCATTTGGCAGGATTAAATTCGAGAAGCCAGTTTATGGACCACATGTCCAGCCTGTCCAGGTCTCTTTGCAGTCCTGCCTCATCCTCGTCCAATTTAATTCTTCTCATCAACTTCACATCATCTGCAAATAGGGACACTTCAGAGTCTATTCCCTCATCATGTCGTTCGCATATATCAAAAATAGCACTGGCCCTAGAACTGACCCCTGTGGGACCCCGCTCGTCACAGGCGCCCACTGTGATACCTCTTCACGTACCATGACTCGTTGCTGCCTCCCTGTCAGGTATTCCCTGATCCACTGCAGTGCCCTCCCTGTTACATGCGCCTGATCCTCCAGCTTCTGCACTAATCTCTTGTGAGGAACTGTGTCAAAGGCCTTCCTGCAGTCTATGAAAACGCAATCAATCCACTCCTCTCTCTCGTGTCTTACTTCTGTAACCTTGTCATAAAACTCCAGGAGGTTTGTGATACAAGATTTGCCTTCCATGAACCCATGCTGGTTTTCATTTATAATCTTGTTCCGTTCCAGGTGTTCGACCACTCTCCTGATAATCTTCTCCATGACTTTGCACACAATACATGTCAGAGACACAGGTCTGTAGTTTAGTGCCTCGTTTCTGTTTCCTTTCTTAGATATGGGGACTACATTTGCTGTCTTCCATTTCTCAGGTAGTTGCCCAGTTTCAAGGGATATGTTGAAGATTGTGGTTAGAGGCACGCACAGCATCTCTGCTCCTTCTCTAAGGACCCATGGGGAGATGTCCGGTCTCATCGCCTTTGAGGTATCAAGGTCACTTAGCAGCTTCTTCACCTCCTCCTCGGTTGTTCGTATGTCATCCAACACTTGGTGGTATATTCCTCTTGATGTTCCCTTCTGTACTGACTTCCCACAGCCCTTCCTGTCTCTACTGTAAAAACTTCCTTAAATCTCCTGTTTAGCTCCTCACATACCTCCTGGTCATTTCTTGTGAGTTCTCCCCCTTCTTTCCTTAATCTGATCACCTGGTCTTTGACTGTTGTCTTCCTCCTGATGTGGCTATACAACAGTTTCGGGACAGTCTTGATTTTCGATGCTATGTCATTTTCATACTGTCGCTGGGCCTCCCTCCTTACCTGTGCGTACTCGTTCCTGGCTCTGCGACTGATCTCCCTATTTTCGTGTGTTTTCTGCCTTCTGTACTTTTTCCATTCTCTATTGCACTTTGTTTTTGCCTTCTTACACCGTCGGGTAAACCAGGGGCTTGTTCTGGTCTTCCCATTGTTTCTGTTGCCCTTGCTCTGGTCTTCCCGTTGTTTCTGTTGCCCTTGGGAATAAACCTTTCCACTGCCTCCTTGCATTTTGTTGTTACATATTCCATCATTTCATTTACTGGCTTTCCTGCGAGTTCTCTGTCCCATGGGACCTCCTGCAGGAAGTTCCTCAACCTTATGTAGTCCCCTCTTTTATAGTCAGGCTTTTCCCATTCAACTCCTGTTACTCTCTCCACTTGCAGCTCTACTATATATTCAAAGCACAGAACCACGTGGTCGCTAGCTCCTAGGGGACTCTCATACATGATGTCCTCAATGTCTGAACTGCCCATGGTGAACACAAGGTCCAATCTTGCGGGTTTTCATCCCCCCCTCTCACTCTGGTAGTGTCCTTAACATGTTGGTGCATGGGGTTTTTTCCAGAAACAACGTCCATCATCTTGGCTCTCCATGTTTTCGAGACCCCCTGTGGCTCCAGGTTTTCCCAGTCAATCTCCCTGTGGTTTAAATCCCCATAACCAGCAACTTTGCTCTGCTGGAGTGAGCTCTTCTTGCCACCTCAGCAAGTGTGTCCCCCATTGCTCTGTTGCTCTCTTCATATTCCTCTCTTGGCCTACTGCAGTTCTGTGGTGGATTATACATCACTGCAATGACCACCTTGTGTTTCCCAGACTGAAGTGTACCTACTATGAGTCTCTTTCTCCCATCTCATCTATGGGCCTTCCATTTTCCCCGAATTTCCATCTGTTTTTTACTAGCAGAGCAACCCCAGCTCCCCCTCTGCCCCTTTTTCTATTTCCTCATGATCTGGTATCCTGGTGGAAGATTGCATCTGTTATTGTCCCCGTGAGTTTTTTTCTCTGTAAATGCTATGATTCTGGGGACTTTCTCATTGATCTTCTTGCCATTTCCCCATGTTTATTCGTTAATCCATCTGCATTTTGTACCAAACCTTCAAATTCTGTTCTAATACTGTAACGTGGGGTGGGGGTGGGAACAGAGGGATCGGTGTGTGATGGTTGGTTTGGATTGTTCAGTTGCCTTGGGGGTGTCTTGGCTGGGGTCCTTCTGCAGGTGTTTCTGGGGGGTGTGCTTGTCCTTCCACTTGTTCATGGGTTATTTTGCTCTCCTTTTTCATTTCCTCCCATTTCTCCTTTCGTTTCTGAACTCTCTCTTTCATCGTCTTCCTTTCCTCCTGTGTTCTGTCTCGATCGAGGTACACACTCATGAACTCCTGCCTGCCTGTGTGTGTGTACTCACCTATTTGTGGTTGCAGGGGTCGAGTCTTAGTTCCTGGCCCCACCTCTTCACCGGTTGCTACTGGGCCCTCTCTCTCCCCGCTCCATGAGCTTTATCAAACCTCGTCTTGTGTGTGTGTGTGTGTGTGTGTGTGTGTGTGTGTGTGTGTGTGTGTGTCTGGGAGAGGTCTTAGCTCATCTTATCCACTCACTTGGGTAGTGGTCTGAGACCATTGCAATCACTCACTGTATCCAGTCACTTGAGGGAAGATCTTGTTTGTGTGTATTCACTCATCCGGAAATAGGTCTGAGCAGTATATTGACAGACCTGAGCAGAGATTTCAGTTTCTTATCTATGCAAACACCTGGGTAGTGGTGGGGGCTACAAATGCATACACTCACCTGGGAATAGAAGTGAACTGTGTCCATGTACTCACCCGGGGATAGATCTGGACTGATGGGAACACACGCTGCTCCCTGGAGCACCACTGCCAGTAATACTAGAGCGAATTCTATGTGGTTAGGAGTGATAAGGAGGATGGCCTCTTCGGGCAACACTCCAGCGTCTTCAAGACCCGCCCGTATCCTGGGCACCACCCTGCTCACCTCTAAGTATGTGCGGTGTTCACCCGTGGCCGCGTCTACCTGTGGACATGGGAGTCAGTCCTGGATTACTCATTAAGTAAAAAACACAAGTGTCCAGGTCACAGAAAGCTTCAAAGATATCCAGAAATGTTTATTAGAAAATATAAATTTTGGGGGAAACAAAAATTGAATGAACTAACATTAGATGCCATGAACAAAGTATATAAGTCTGTACTGAGGAAAACATCAGTGATCGTCAGTGATCTCAATATCTTCCCAGTTAATGCTGGGAAGATATTGAGGTAGACGTGGTCTTCAAACAGTGGTGATGGCCCTGAGACAGTGGTGGTGGTTTTGACACAGTGGTGGTGGTGGTGGTAATGGTCTTGACACAGTGATGGTGGTGGTGGTCTTGATGCAGTGGTGGTGGTCTTGACACAGTTACCTGGAGGTTATTCCGGGGATCAACTCCCCCGCGGCCCGGTCCATGACCAGGCCTCCCGATGGATCAGGGCCTGATCAATTAGGCTGTTACTGCTGGCCGCACGCAGTCCAACGTACGAGCCACAGCCCGGCTGATCCGGCACTGACTTTAGGTATCTGTCCAGCTCTCTCTTGAAGGAAGCCAGGGGTTTATTGGCAATTCCCCTAATGCTTGATGGGAGGCTGTTGAACAGTCTTGTGCCCCGGACACTTACGTGTTTTCCCTTAATGTACCAATGGCGCCCCTACTTTTTATTGGGGGCATTTTGCATCGCCTGCCCAGTCTTTTACTTTCGTAGGGAGTGATTTCTGTGTGCAGATTTGGGACCATTCCTTCCAGGATTTTCCAAGTGTAGATTATGATATATCTCTCCCTCCTGCGTTCCAACGAGTACAAGTCAAGTGCTACCAAGCGTTCCCAGTAGTTAAGGTGCTTGGCAGAACTTATACGTGAAGTGAAGGATCTCTGTACACTCTCTAGATCTGCGATTTCACCTGCTTTGAACGGAGATGTTAATGTACAGTGGTATTCCAGCCTAGAGAGAACAAGTGATTTGAAAAGGATCATCACTGGCTTGGCATCTCTCGTTTTGAACGTTCTCATTATCCATCCTATCATTTTCTTTGCACTTGTGATCGTGGCAGTGTTGTGATCCTTGAAAGTGAGATCCTCAGACATTACTACTCCCAGGTCCCTTACATTATTTTTCCGCTCTATTGTATGGCCAGAGTTTGTAGTATACTCTGTTCTAGTTATTATCTCCTCCAGTTTTCCATAACGGAGTAGTTGGAATTTGTCCTCATTGAACATCATATTGTTTACCGTTGCCCACTGAAAAACTTTGTTTATATCTTCTTGGAGGTTAACCGCGTCCTCAGCAGATGACAGCCTCATGCAGATCCTAGTATCATCCGCAAAGGATGATACGGTGCTGTGATGTATATCTCTCTCTATGTCTGATATGAGGATAAGGAATAAGATGAGGGCGAGTACTGTGCCTTGTGAAGCAGAGCTCTTCACTATGGCAGCCTCCGATTTAACTCTGTTGACCACTACTCTTTGTGTTCGATTTGTTAGGAAGTTGAAGATCCATCTCCCCACTTTCCCAGTTATTCCTTTAGCACGTATTTTATGGGCTATTACGCCATGATCGCATTTGTCAAATGCTTTTGCAAAGTCTGTGTATATTACATCTGCATTCTGATTTTCTTCCAGTGCATCCAAGGCCATATCATAGTGATCCAGTAGTTGTGAGAGGCAGGAGCGACCTGCCCTGAGCCCATGTTGCCCTGGATTGTGCAGATTTGGTGGGGGTCTTGACATAGTGGAGGTGGTGGTCTTGCCACAGTGGTGGAGGTGGTCTTGACACAGTGGTGGTGGTGATCTTGGCACAGTAGTGGTGGTGATCTTGACACAGTGATGGTGGTGGTCTTGAAACAATGGTGGTGGTGGTGGTGGTCTTGTCACAGTGGTGGTGGTGGTGGTGGTGGTGGTGGTGGTGGTGGTGGTCTTCACACAGTGGCGGTGATAGTCTTGAGATAGTGGTGGTGGTGGTCATGACGTATTGGTTGTGGGGTCTTGACGTAGTTGTGGTGGTGATCTTGACATAGTGAGGGTGGTGGTCTTGACATAGTAGTGTTGGTCGTCTTGACATAGTGATGGTGGGGGTCTTGACATAGTGGTGGTGGGAGTCTTGACATAGTGGTGGTGGGGGTCTTCACATAGTTGTGGTGGTGGTCTTGACATAGTAGTGGTGGTGGTCTTGACACAGTGGTGGTGGTGGTCTTGACATACTGGGGATGAGGGGTTTTGACATAGTGTTGGTGGCTGTCTTGACATAGTGTTGATGGCTGTCTTGACATAGTGGTAGTGCTCTTGACATAGTGGTGGTGAGGGTTTTGACACATTGGTGGTCTGGACACAGTTACGGTGGGGGTCCTGACATAGTGGTGGTGGCGGTGGTTTTGACATAGTGGTAATGGGGGTTTTGTATTGTGGTGGTGGTGGTCTTGACATAGTAATGGTGGTGGTCTTGACATAGTGGTGGTGGTGGTCTTGACATAGTAATGGTGGTGGTCATGACATAGTGGTCGTGGTGGTCTTGACATAGTGGTGGTGGTGGTCTTGACATAGTGGTGGTGGTGGTCTTGACATAGTAATGGTGGTGGTCTTGACATAGTAGTGGTGGTGGTCTTGACATAGTGGTGGTGGTGGTCTTGACATAGTAATGGTGGTGGTCTTGACATAGTGGTGGTTGTGGTCTTGGCATAGTAATGGTGGTGGTCTTGACATAGTGGTGGTGGTGGTCTTGACATAGTAATGGTGGTGGTCTTGACATAGTGGTGGTGGTGGTCTTGACATAGTAATGGTGGTGGTCTTGACATAGTAGTGGTGGTGGTCTTGACATAGTAATGGTGGTGGTCTTGACATAGTGGTGGTGGTGGTCTTGACATAGTGGTGGTGGTGGTCTTGACATAGTGGTGGTGGTGGTCTTGACATAGTGGTGGTGGTGGTCTTGACATAGTGGTGGTGGTGGTCTTGACATAGTAGTGGTGGTGGTCTTGACATAGTAATGGTGGTGGTCTTGACATAGTGGTGGTGGTGGTCTTGACATAGTAGTGGTGGTGGTCTTGACATAGTAGTGGTGGTGGTCTTTACATAGTAGTGGTGGTGTCTTGACATAGTAGTGGTGGTCTTGACATAGTAGTGGTGGTCTTGACATAGTAGTGGTGGTGGTCTTTACATAGTAGTGGTGGTGGTCTTGACATAGTAGTGGTGGTCTTGACATAGTAGTGGTGGTCTTGACATAGTAGTGGTGGTGGTCTTTACATAGTAGTGGTGGTGGTCTTGACATAGTAGTGGTGGTCTTGACATAGTAGTGGTGGTGGTCTTGGCATAGTAGTGGTGGTGGTCTTGACATAGTAGTGGCGGTGGTCTTGACATAGTAATGGTGGTGGTCTTGACATAGTAGTGGTTGTCTTGGCATAGTAGTGGTGGTGGTCTTGACATAGTAGTGGTGGTGGTCTTGACATAGTAGTGGTGGTGGTCTTGGCATAGTAGTGGTCTTGAAACAGTTATGGTGGGGGTCTTGATATAGTGGTTGTGTTGTTGGTCTTGACATAGTGGTGGTAGGGGGTCTTGACATAGTGGTGGTGGGGGTCTTGACACAGTGGTGGTGGTGGTCTTGACATAGAAGTGGTGGTGGTCTTGACATAGTGATAGTGGTTGGCTTGTCCCAGTGGTGTTGGTTTTGACACAATGGTCGTTGTGGTGGTCTTGACATACTAGTGGTGGTGGTCTTGACAGAGTGATAGTGATTGGCTTGTCCCAGTGATGGTGGTTTTTACACAATAGTCGTGGTTGTGGTATTGGTCTTGACACCTCTCCATGATGTGTTATAGGCAAACCACCACCACGACTCCATAATGTGTTAGAGGCAGACCACCACCACCACTCCATGGTGTGTTAGAGGCAGGCCACTACTCCATGGTGTGTTAGAGGCAGACCACTAATCCTACTCTTTGCTCAAATTTCATTCATATCAAGTTCTCCATTATGCACCCTCTCCCTCATATGTTCATTTCATTGGAACAAGATCCTACGTGCAGCAAAACCCATAACCAAAATTATACTCTCTCCATTGCCCTTACTGAATTCCTCTCTACTACGAGAAGCCACTAGGACTACTTACGTACACTCAGGCACACTTATTCACACCCAAATACACACACACACAATTTCTTGGGCTGCATTTTCTTGGACTGCAAGAAGGCGTTTGACACAGTTCCACACAAGAGATTAGTGCAAAACCTGGAGGACCAGGCAGGGAAAACAGGGAAGGCACTACAATGGATCAGGGAATACTTGTCAGGAAGACAGCAGCGAGTCATGGTACGTGGCGAGGTGTCAGAGTGAGCACCTGTGACGAGCGGGGTCCCACAGGGGTCAGTCCTAGGACCAGTGCTGTTTCTGGTGTTTGTGAACGACATGACGGAAGGAATAGACTCAGAAGTGTCCCTGTTTGAAGATGATGTGAAGTTGATGAGAAGAATTCATTCGATCGAAGACCAGGCAGAACTGCAAAGGGATCTGGACAGGCTGCAGATCTGATCTAGCAATTGGCTCCTGGAGTTCAACCCCACCAAGTGCAAAGTCATGAAGACTGGGGAAGGTCAAAGAAGACCACAGACGGAATACAGTCTAGGGAGGCCAGAGACTACAAACCTCACTCAAAGAAAAAGATCTTGGGGTGATATAACACCATGCACATCTCCTGAAGCGCACATCAACCAAATAACTGCTGCAGCATATGGGCGCCTAGCAAACCTAAGAACAGCATTCCGACATCTTAATAAGGAATCGTTCAGGACCCTGTACACCGTGTACGTTAGGCCCATATTGGAGTATGCGGCACCAGTCTGGAACCCACACCTAGCCAAGCACGTAAAGAAACTAGAGAAAGTGCAAAGGTTTGCAACAAGACTAGTCCCAGAGCTAAGAGGTATGTCCTACGAGGAGAGGTTAAGGGAAATCGACCTGACGACACTGGAAGACAGGAGAGATAGGGGGGACATGA